TATAATTCTGTTTGGGACTTTGTTTCTTATATCCTATGCCTTCTCATTTCAGTCAAATAAGACTACTAGCTGTTTCCCATACTCAACATTCCATTTCTTGTCTTCATGCCTGGAACAGACTCCTTCTTTGCATCTACCTCTTACAATTCCTACCATCTTTCAAAGTACTATATAGGTGCTACCCCCCCCAAATGTTATGATATTCCTGATTCCTACTTCTCCCCAGTTGTTGGTTGGTTCAGTCTCCCTCTTGAAAGAGTAACCCAAGATACTCAGGAACTTGGAGGAATGCTAAGTAGGTTTTGAAGGAATCAGATTCCATTGCAGATATAAGGGGAGTATCTAGGACCTGACTAAATTCTGGGAGAATGAAAAGGAAGAGGAGGAGGAGGAGAAAAGGAATAACAAGGAAAAGAAGAATGAAGAAATAAGAGGAAGAAGAAGGACAAGGAGAAGAAGAGGAATAACAAGGAAAAGAAGAAGAGCAGAAGAAAAAGAAGAGGAATAACAAAGAAAAGGAGGAGGTGGAGGAAGAGAAGAAAAAGAAGATGATGAAGAAGAAAGCATACATAGAGGGCAAATGTGTTTATAGTAGTAGCAGTATAATTATGACTGGATTGGAAGAGATCTCAATATGTATTTTATGATGTGAATGAGTTTTGAGAGTAGATACTAAGCATTGCAAACTGGATCTGGCTGCCAGACTTCTACTCTATAGAGCAGAAGTCACCTCTTTCAGAGTTCTGTGAGATTCATTACAAGGAAAAATAAAAGTTTAACTTTCTTCCCAGTGCCTGTGCTGGCAGGTGCTTCTATATATTTTTTGCTACTCTTTCCTGGTTTTTTACTTTACATTTAAAACTATGAGCACAACTTCTTTGTGATACATGTCTCAATATTGATTTGTGTAGGAAGGGAAATGGAGGATGTCATTGACTAGCTGGAATACACAGAACTCAAAATAACTCAGGGGATTAAACTTCTATAAAGACGGTCAGGATGGGGCTCTGAGCAGAAAGTGAAATATAATCTCATAGTTTTGATTATTAATGATTTTTAAAGTTCTACAAATAGAGAGAAATGGCCCACATGAACTGGGACCATTTGCCCTTATGTTATTAAATCAGAGCCAGATATGGCTTAGGGGAGGGGATCCCCTAAAAACTGTGAAAAACAGCAGTTTCCATTGAGGGTTGGGATTGAAATGTGGAAAGTCATACCTTGTGGGACTGCCTAATGGGAGAAGCCAGATGTCGTCTGGATTCTGCTCCTTCCGTTTATCCCTTGGGAGGAAGGATTATGTAAGAGCAAGTAGCTTTGATTTCCAGTTTCTTATATACTGCTTACCCTTGCCTCATAGTAATATCTGTTGGTTACAAAAATACTTTTCATTTAATTAGTTATGTACATAGAATATGCTTCTTCCGGTGGAAAACGAGCTACATGAAATGGAAATAGTTTCTTTTTTCTTATATATCTAGAATAGAGCCTAGTGCAATGCTTTGTACACAACAGGCGTTTAATAAATGTTTGTTGAATATTAAATTATACTTATAGAATCACATCTTCACAGATGGAAAAGACCTGAAAGGCTATTTATTTGAATCTCCTTATTTTATAGATAAGAAAGCTGAGGCTCATAGAGTTGAAATGACTTGTCCAAGGTTATGTAAGTGTCAAGTGGATTTGAACTCAGGGTTATCTGGCTCCAAATCCAGTGTTCTACTGTTCCAAAGAATAAGGACAATAATGATTATTTTATATAGGGCTGTAAGCCCATTATATGTATATTATCTTATTTTGCCCTCACAATTATTTGAGAAGATAGGTGTTAACTATTATCCCCATTTTATATATAAGAAAACTGAGACAGAAAATTAAGTGATATTCTCAGAATCACACAGCTTGTAAATGTTTGAAGCAAGATTTGAAGTCAAGTCAGTCTTCTTACACATTACAACTCCCTCTCCCACCCCCCACCCCATATATTCTGCAATCCGGTGACACTGGCCTTTTTGCTGTTCCTTGAACAAGAGATTCAATTTCTAGATTCTAGGAATTTTCACTGGTCACTTGCCATGCCTGAAATGCTCTCCCTCCTGGCATCCCTGGCTTCCTTCAAGTCCCAGCAAAAATTTCGTCTTCTACAGGAAGATTTTCTCAAGCCCCCTTAATTTTACTTCTGTTAATTATTTGACCTTATCTTTGTTGATTTTTCCAATTTATCCTGCATATATAATATTTGTATAGAGCTGTTTGTATGTTGACTCTTCTCCTCCTCCCCAACCCAGCCCAGACAGTGAGATCTTTGATAGCAAGGACCATCTTTTTCCTTTCTTTGTATCCTCAGTCTCTTAGCAGGTGCTTAATAACTGTTTGTTGACTGACTGACTCCAAGTTTAGCTCTCTAGCCACTGTCACGCTACATTTTTTGTATCTCCTTTGTTGTTTTTCAAAATTCACAGAATCACAGGCTATAAAGAGCTTACTGGGCATTAGAGATCATCTAGTCCAATCTTCTCATTTTTACAAATGAATAAATTGAGATCCAGAGAGATTAAACAATTTGTCCAAGGTGATAAGAAAGTAAGTAGTTCTGCGGCTCACTTCCTAACTATTCATAGTGCTGCACGGGAGCTTCAAAGAGGCAAAATTCAGGCTTGAAGTTGAAGAGAACTTCCTAACAATTAGAACTATCCGAAAGAAGAATGGCCCACCTGATAGTGGGAGCACTCTCACTAGATGTTCTTAAGTGAATATAATGGAGGAAACTGGGGTAGTGATTGGGTCCTCAGGGGTGACCACACAGGAGCATGCATAAGGATGGGACTTCAACTTGATCATTTTGGTCTCCTATAGCCAGAGGTTCCTGCTTGGTCTCTTAATATCTGTGATAATGAAGAGGTAAAGATGATTGATCTGCCCACTCAATGAGACCTTAAGATGAGTAACTCTGTCTCTCCCTCCCTCCTTTTCTCTCTGTCTCTACTTCTGTTTGTCTTGTTGCTCTCTCTGTTCCTTTGTCTCTGTCTCACCGTCTATCTTTTTCTGTCTGTCTCTTTCTCCCTCTATCTGGATCATGTCATTTGGTTCTCAAGCAAACTCTTAAACTTCTAGTGAAGGAGAATTCATATTTCTCCCCTCCTCCCAGCAGCTGCTGTGGCTGAAGCAATATAGCAGTCAGTGGGTGTACCTGAGTGAGTCTGGTGAGATCTGGAGTCTGATGAGATCTCAGGCTCTTCTCTTTTATATTTCTTTCCCTGAGCCCAGATGATCAAACAGGAATCTTAAGAGATGGATGTTTCCAGTTTTGGTTTCCAGCTGCCTTGTAAGTTCAAGAGGTCTGGACTCATTGAAAAGCAGGAGTGCTGAAAGACCACCAACAGGACTGTGACTCATGCATGTCTGACTGGCCAGAAGATATGGATCTTGAGCACATTCCTCAGGTGGTATGGCTCCAAGGTGAAAGTGAAATATCTGTTCAGCAGTCTCATAAAGTGTTTCATGTATTAAGTATAAATCTCCTGGGAGAAAGAGAATCTATTTCTGTATCTATACAGCTAGGTGGTTCAGTGGATAGAGAACTGGGCCTGGAGTCAAGAAGACTTATCTCGCTGAGTTCAAACCTGGCATCAGATACTAGTTAACTAGTGACCCTGCACAGGTCACTTAACCTAATTTGCCTCAGTTTTCTCATCTGTAAAAAGAGCTGAAGAAGGAAATGAAAAACCACTCCAGTATCTTTACCAAATGGGGTCACAAAAAGTCAGACATGAGTGAACAACAATAACAAATATCTATCGATGGATTACTGTAAGCATATTTTAAGTATTTTTCAACATGTGTTTATGATTCTTTTGTATTTTAAGCATTTCTCTTTTTGGTGGAAGAAAACAATGCTATCCTATACGTGATCTAGGTTGGACATTCAGAACCTTTCTAGGAGGGACACTCCAGATAGGAGCCAAACCCATGCTTTGTTTATAGAGATTTGTCTTCATGTATTTCAAGAGCTATCATGGGAAAGAAGAATTATATATGCATAAGTGCCTTATATATAGTCTGTGGCCTTTGCATATCTCCTGTATGCTCTTGTAGAAAGTAGTAATGGCCAATGGGCACTATTACTAAATTTCATTTACAGAGATTTTCCTGGAATAACTATGTGTGGGGGCATTATAAGACAAAGAGGAAGAAAAGCCTGATCTCTCTTAGGGGTCAAGTTTCCCTAAGTTTGAGCCTATGTACCCTGGGCAAGTTACTTAAGCTATCTCAGTTTCAGTTTCCTCGTCTGTAAAATGGGGATAATAAAAGCACTTACCTCCTCCGGTTGATGTGAGGATCAAATGAGACAAGATATGTAAAGGGCTTCACAGACTTTAAAGAGCCATATAAACGCTATTATTTTCCCCAGGGTTTATCTTCAAATAGCTTTTCTAAGTCACTTAATCTCCTTGGGCCTCAGTTTCCTCATCTATCAAAATGAAAGGGTTGGATTAGATGGCCTCTTGAGGTCCCTAGAGGCTCTAATTCTGAGATCCTTAAGCCTCTACATCTCTCCCCAAAACTAACTCGTATTTAAGGTTTATGTACTTTATCTTACCACTATGTTTTTATTCCCGTTTTTACAGCTGCGGAAACTGAGGCTCAGTTCAGGTCGCACAGCTAAAGGGCTGTAGGGACAACCCCCTTCCACTCCATCAAACATAAAGATCTCTTCTTTCCACTCGGCCCTTCTAGCTCCGTCCAGAGGATGGCGCTCCTGCCCCAGCCTTCCTGTTCTCTCCCTTACCCCCTACTCTCCATTGCCGCCGGAACCTCCGCCCGAGCCACCCTGCTCAGCGTCTCCATCTCCTGGGCACCCGGGGCGAGGCGGGGCAGCTGAGCCCGCCAGGGGCCGCTGCCGGCCAAGGCGAACCTCCCTCCCCTCACTCCATCCCCCCCACCCCGGAGGCGGCTGCAGTAAGCAGGAGCTGGGAGCGAGTGCATTGCGAGGCGGGCTGGAGGGAGGGAGGCGTGAAGAGAGCGAGGGAGGCTGCTGGAGGGAGCCTCCGCCTCCGCTGCACCAGCCCGCTCGGGTCCCAGCGGAGACCATGGGGAGCTCCGAGCGGGGATCGCGCTCTGCTCCCGCGCCCAGCCTCCTGCAGCCGTGAAAAGCCGAGTCGGGACTCCCCCCCACCCCCAGAGCTGCGGGGAGGATGACTATGGCTGGGGGCAGAAGGGGGCTGGTTGCCCCTCAGAACACGTTTCTCGAGAACATTGTCCGGAGGTCCAATGGTAAGAGATGCCTTTGAATCGATTTATCGCGTTGTAGATGAATTGATGTAGGGCAAACGCCCCTGGCCGTCCCGCGCCCCCCTCTCCCGCGGATGCAGCCCAGCCCCCCGAGCTTTGGTCTCATACAGAGCCGGTGCAACGGGAGGGCGGCGAGAATGCTGCCTGCCTCCCGGAGCGAGCCCCAGGGTTGAAAAGGGGAGGGGGCTAGCTAGCGGGGCCAGGGATGGGGATGGTGGTGGTGGTGGTGGTGGTGGTGGTGGTAGTGGCAGCAGGTCTCGAGGAGAGGCTGCACACGCCGGAGAGTTCTTCCCGGGGTACCTTTTTGGGGTCTCCTTTTTCCGCAGGGTGATAACAAAGTAGTCTGGAAAAGTGTCAGGGTGCCCGACGGGGCGCTAGAGGGATGCACCTTTTCCATGGGCTAGCTGCCTCAGTCCGTCCGTCCGCGGACCTCCGGTTCTTTGGTCCCTGCAGGTTTTCTTAGCTCTCCTGCTGTAGACCCTAACCCAAGCCCTGCCCTAAGCCGTTTACCCTCCCGTTAGGGGTGGAGGCGGGCCGGCGGAGGAGTGGGGAGAGCTCTTGGGTTGTCAACTCCGCACCAGCTTGGTCAGTCTTGTAAAGGAGCCCACAGGGCAGGCTGTTCATCTTTCTCTCCGTCAGGGTTCAGAGGCATCGGGAAAGGGTAAGATCCAGATGTAGCCTCGGCCGGTGGATGCCTTCTTCCTGTGTCGTGTGAAGTGCCAGAATCATGTGGCAGATGGGGTTTCCTTGGGTTTTCCAGAGCACAGGTGCAGAGCTGGTTAAGTAGTTGCAGGTGCAGCCCTTTGTAGCATCTCCTTCTCCTGTCCAAACCCACGACAGCGGAGATGTGTCACACTTGGGCTGTGAAATCCGGGATCCTATTTTCCCATAAACTAATTAAATGTCTAGAAAAATCTCTCAGTAGCTCTCACCTCCACTGTAACTGTGGTTAGCTAAGGTAGCATGGGCACTTGTAGACGACAGTCCACCCCAGGTCCTAGTTCAATGTAAATACCTTACAGAAAGTTCTCTTCAGTAGTGAGCAGCGATTTCAAACACCTTTGAGGCCAATACTGAAGAGACCGAGGCAGAGCCTTTCAAAAGGAAATAGAACTAGGCGCAGGTGGTAGGTATAGAGCAAATGCATTCATCAAATTGCTAAAATTAGCTGAAAGGGAAAGAAGCCTTTAAGTGCACTTTGTGGGTTCCTTAAGCCCCCTCTCCTCATAGAAAAAAAAACATTTTCAGTTTATCTGAGAAACTGAGTAGCTATAATTCAGGAAATGAGGTTTTAAAATTTGTAAACATGAAGCTTTTGGAGACTTAACCAGCTGGGATACAAAAGTGAGCCCCTCCAGTAAGATGAAGGCAGAAATTTCAAAGGGAGATTTTTTTTTCTTCTTTTGGTGGTGTTATAGTCCTGTACTGATTTACCTATATACTGTTTCCCCCAATAAACACACTTTCTAAATTTATCCTACTTCAGTGATAAACTAGCAATCAATTGGATCTGCAAATATGCATCAGCTAACCGGTATTATTTAAATGTTTTCCTAGAAATCTTGAGATGTTAGGAGGAAAGAACAATGCAGTTCTTGGGGGGAGGGTGGCTTTTCTTTTCCATCCAGTGATCTGTCACTTCTTGGATTTCTTTTTCAACTAAAGCAGGTGGGCTGTGAGGCAAGGTCAAAATGGTTATCAGGTTATGAAATGGCAATAATGAACCTATACTTCCAAAGAGCTGGATTTGCCCTCTGAACCCTTGGAATAAAAGCTCATGTTGTTGTTGATATTGACTGGCCAGAGAAGAATGAACCAATCACTACAGAATTTGAAGTTCTTTCCTAATCTGAGAACCTTAGGAGGAGGAATTATCATGGCCCTTAATGAGTAATTTATACAGAAGAGAGAAATGACCATCGATAAGTAGGTGAGGGCAGAGGTTGTGGTATACTCATATGATGTGTGGGTATTTGCTGATGTAAATAAAGGAGTCTTAGATGCCAAGTCCTTGTAAATCCTGCCCCTGGGTCCCTGCAGGTGAGGAGAGAGAAGACTTCCTTCCTGTTCATCGGATCCCAGAGAAACTACAGGCCCTGACCATCCTGAACCTTTTGTAAACACCCATGGACTGCTAATGGACTAAGCATGTGTGAACATTTTTAGCAGTGACATTTTAAATTGAGCACCAATAATAACAGCTTGACTTGAAGTTTTTTTTAAAGTACTTCTTGCAACAGCTGAACTATTTGCCTCTTTCCCTACTGAAATGATCAATGTTTAGATGGCAAAGGTAATGTAACATTGTGGGTTGGTCTAGGTTTGAAAATTTCTAAGAATTCTGAGTTTAAAAGTACAGATTTATTCTTTCTATTTATATCTTCATATATTGTATTTTTCTACACTGAAAAAGTATATGTGTACTTATGTTTTAAAAATGGATTACTCCACAAAGGCAGCAATATGGATGTTGCTTCTGTTATTGTTTGGTGATTTTTGTTAAGCATTTAAATGACATGTTCATTTTTGCAACGTGTTTCATAACATTTTATTAAATACTTGTTGCAAGGGTGCGGGGAGAGATCTCCTTATATTTCTGTCCCTATGTTAAACAAATGAGGAATGTGAATGTTAAATGACATGTGAATGAATGCCCCTGGCTCAGCAGGTGATGATGGAACTGGGATTAGAGCTTCTTCTCATCACTGGCTTTTCACACCCTACTAATTCAACCCACTGGAGTACCTGCATTAGTGGAATTCCACGTCAATGCCCAAGATGCTAGAGTTTGATCTGGATGCTTTCTGATTCCCTTTGGCTTCATTTCTGTACTCAGAATTTCCTTAAAGATGGGGGGGGGAAGCTTAGGTTGGAATAAAGAAGAGGGAGGGACCAAGAATTTATTAAATGCCACATGCTTTACAAATATTATCTCATTTGATCTTTACAGTAATACTAGAAGATAGGTGCTATTCATGTAAATGTCTGAAGCAAGGATTGAAACTCAGGTCTTCCTGACTCCAGGTTTGGCTCTCAATTCATTTTGACACCTAGAGGGAATTGGTAGAATTATTAATGACCCATATAATTTATACATTGGGTTTTAATCTATGTTAATTAATATCAGTTTAACTTCTAGGAGGCAGAGGAAGGGGAAGGAGTTGAATTTTTTAAAAAGGGGTTTGAGGAAGGATAAAGGAGAAATAGTCACTAAGATGAAGTAGTTTCTTTGGTGGTCATAGAGTCATAGAATATTTGAGCTGGAAGGAACTTTGGAGATCATCCACACCAAAATCTTCATTTTATTGAAGCAGTAGCTGAGGCCAAGAGAAAGAGAAATGACATGCCCAAGGTAATACATCCAGTTCGAGGGAGACCAGGTCCTGCTAACTCAAACCAATACTTTTTTCCAGTCTTTAGGTCTTTCTTGTCACATCATTATTTGCTCTCAAGTACCATAATTTCCCTGTGGAATAAAACAAAGTATTTTAACAACCATCTTTTTGGCCAACAGCCAGCTCACCGCATCCACATGGGATAACAGGGCAGAGGAGAAACTAGCACTAACAAAAGGAAGGGCAATTATTTTACCTTTGTTTCAGTGTTTTGGTCACACATGATTCTGTCTAGTACAGTGGTTATGTGAAGCATTAATAGGATCAATTTCACTGAAAACAATCCAGGTAATATCGGAAACATCCTCAGTCTCAAGTCAAGGGGAGATTTGACAGTTTGTTGATTTATTTGTACATCGTATACAGCCAACTGGAGTAATTCATTTCTCAGAGTAGATGGATTTGTGTTGGCTTAATACTCATTGGGTTGGAGGATCGTAAAATCTCCCTCTGTCTTGGCAGCATCAGACCTTGCTCCTTGCTTTAGTTATGCACATTGTTGGAAATAGTCATCTTCTTTCTTCTTTAGCCTAATACTACAGCCAACAGTCTCATGGAAGCAAATAAGAGGTCTGCTGGACCAAGAAAGGCAGGCAGAGAAGGGACAAGGCATTTGTACCTGCTACGTAGAGTTTGAAGGTTCTAATACAGTGTCTGACATACAATGGGAACTTAATAAATGCTTGAGGAATTGAATCAGAAAATTGTACTCCTTAATACAATTTCGGTTTTTAGCTCTCATGTAAAAGAGGAAGCACAGAGATGGAAGGGAGCTCAGAAATAACCAAATCTAACTTTTTTATTTTGTAGATGAGTAAACTGAGGCCCAAAGAAGTGAAGGGACTTGCCCAAAGTCACATAGATAGTAAGCAGAAAATCTAGGCGTCAAACCTATGTCCAAATCCATTGATCATTCCACAGTAACACGGAACTGGACTCAGAAAAAAGAAAAAAAATTTCTTCAATCCACAAAAAGTAGAATTTTCAGGCTGGCTTAAAAATATTCTGTTTATAAAATTCTATTAAAAAATATCCCTCATTTTACCATGTTCCTACTCCCCATTTGTTGCACCTTAGCCAGCTGCCTTCATCGCCTATCCCTAGTCCTGGGCTGTGTTGGCAGGTCCAGGTGCCAGGAGAACACACAAAATGATTAAAAAAAAAAAACCAAACTATCCAGGACATATGTTTAAGTACCATAGAGCAGAAACCTAACAATTGGAAATGCCATAGTAACAATCCATACTTGATTAGCAAGAATGAAATGAGGCACATGCTGGTACATATTTGTGAACATATATAAATTACAGATTGCCTAATCAGCTGTGTTGTTGTAGAATTTGAAGCTGGTTCAGGTTGTTGGCACAATGAGTTAGCAAACAGGAGGAGAGCCACGGGAAATGTTTTGTGTGTTCATAGATCTGTTGAGTCATGGGAATATTTATAAAACAACAAAAAAACCCCACCTTCCTAAAATCCTTTATGTCCCACTGAAAAGGGAGAGTAATAATAAACCTGGATTATCCCTAGGTCAACATAGGTGGCTGACTTTTTTTGTTTTTGTTTTATGTTGTAAAATAATCTCTA